TTATCTTTAATTGGAGGGTAATTACTTTCACTCGTCTGCACCAGGGTGTGCTTTGAAAGCACCCGAGACAGAAGATGCTCCTCCCTCAGCGGCCACGTTCTCTCTCTGCCTCCATCTCTCCTCCAGGATTGGGGGCCCCTCAGTGCCTGCTGGCCCTGGTGGCTAGAAGACCTATCGCATCCTCAGTTTTGCTTATTTTGCAATAAAAATGGGATGTTTTTCCCTCCTCCTGCAAAAAATTCACCCAAGACTTTCCATTGAGGATTGTGGCATTTCCATGTATCGACGTTTGGCTGGTGGTTCATATACATTTGTTATTCTATGCTATGGACTTCAAAGGGAATGAAAGAGGGCCTATTATGCTAATTAGGTCCTGTTCTGTTAAACGCAATCAAGGCCTCCCACATTAATCCTTTACTAAATACTTACTCGCTTCAGAAATGCTTTTTTGGATGCAGGGAGACTATGCTATTACTTTACAGGGATGATTGTTAGAGAGTACTGTAGGTTTTGTACAGGTAAATAAAAGGTAATAAGTAAGTAGCAGTAAATAAACCTTTTAATCGTGAAAAGTAAAAGTGTTTATTGTCACTGTTTATACTGTAAATGTGCTTAGAATGACGATCAGGTTCAGGCTTTGACTTTAGTTGTGTTTTTTTATTTGCCAAGTCTGTGTTTGAACAGAGTAGCCTGTTGAGACCATGCTGAGGAATCTGACCTTGTTCTTAGGTCTATATTGTTCACTGCGGTGTACACTGCATTTGTAACAGATTCACACTTTTCCCTCAACAGGAGCAGAAAGAGCAATCCTACACTGATTCCCAGTGATACCTATTTCCATCACATAAATATTATTGTTACTCACCCTGAATGTCTGAGGATCAGACTACAGTGGGAACACAGCCGGCGAGCTCCTTTGCACACTGTGGGGATGCCGACTGTAGTCCAATTGTACAAATACAAAACCAAGGAAGCAGATGCAATAGGTGCTTTGATTTCAAAATAGTATTTTATGCTGTTTTATCATTTTCAGGCTCCACATATGGTACATTTTCTAATATATAAGAAATTGAATAGTGATTTGTTGAATAATTGAAGAGTTAGGAATCACTGAGTATTCTTTGCAGCATGCGTGCGAGCTATAAAAAGAACAGAGGGAAAGCTGAATTTCAGTCATGCTGCACCACACTCATCTAGCTATTTTCAGAAATTAAAACAATGCATTTGTAGAATATTCAAAGCCATTATTATTAGGTTTTACAATTGTGGTATCATTTGGGAGATGATACAAATGTAAAACTATTAGATACCGAATAAAATGTTTACTGATTTATTATATTAAATAGTAACAGAACACAATCTCTCCAATGCTGATTACATTAAACAATGAATCTCATGTTCCTTAAACGGAAGGCTTTTACAATACCTACAGCGAACTGAGCCCTTTGTACATAAAAGCAATTGCTTTGTAAATGAACCAAATGCCCCTGGGCCGCCTCTTTAATCTAGCAGCTCAGCGCACACATACACACTAAGATAAGTAAAATTTACTACATTCAGTGAGGTAAATGAAAAGGCTATGGATGCATCTTCATATCTACAGTACAATGTAATGCTGATGCATCAGTCTTTTTTAAATGCATCAGCAATAAATGAATACATATCTCTTTTCTGTTACATGAAACCCCAGAAATTTTCACCTACCCAGATACCCTGTCTCAAATAACAAGAGTGCAGGTTATGTATTCTGGAAAACCTACAGGTGAGTACCATATATTATTTGTCAAAGTGCATTCCTGGGTACTACACAGTAGATATTTTGTAGTACTGTTGGCACAGGGTGTGTGTTGGTGTTCTGGAAAGCTATATAATTAGAATTGGCATGTTATGCTCCTTATTTCAACATGATTAATCAATGGTTCTCTGTTAACTTGAAAGGAAATATTAGATCCTGACTAAACTTTGATTAAATCCAGAGTTATAAGTAAAAGATGTGGGTCAACTAATGAGAGCAGTGTCCCACTTTGCAAGTCCAGTTGGGAGGGAGACGATTTGCATGTATGCAAACAGTTTTTGAATTAATTGCATAACCTGGCATTCATTAATGACTAAGTTGTGGTGGTTTGGGGGATATCTGGCCTTTACAACTGGATCATATCAGTGGTTGTGACGACCGCCACAATGGTCTCATTGGTGGCAGTTCAGAGTCTTCACAGAGGTTTATACAGGGCTATGTTGTTTGTTCAGCAGCTTCTTGCAGGATGTCATTTATTTACACTTTTTGGAGAGCACAAAAAAAACCCCAATGCTTTTACATAACCTCCATTTATATTCAGGAACAACACATTTAAAATATAGACATACTGTATGAATTCTTCCATTTTCAAGTCACTAATTGTGCTCACTATCACAGGAGCAAATGCTGAAATGTTATTTTCCCCAGAATCCTCAACTGCCACTGTTGGAAGTATTTTCTTCTGGGTATCCTCATTTATTAACAATGCAGCAAGTATGTTATCCTGTTACAGAATGCCTATTGTTTGTTTATACACTAATTATAAATGCTTCATGAAAGAAGATATAGTTATTAAAGATGCTAATAAACACTTAAAAATGCTGTTATATCCATTTACAACTCTAGCTTAACGTGTTTATGCTGCTTATAAATACTAAACAGTTGGTTAAAATGAAAGGTTACGTTTAAAGGGGCTGCCATATCCTGTCACAAGTTAGCCTTAATTGACTTAATGTCGTACTCAAAGGTTTAAAGCAGAAGTTTCACAATCTTCTTCTTTTAGAATGTAGATATTTTTGAATGCTCACTGAGAATACTAATCACTGTAGTCCTAAGCATGAATCAGCCGCACACCTTTGAAACCTGCTCTGGCTGCACTGTAATCAAAGCAGCCCGCCTCATCCTCACTCACTGACTGGATGGTGTTCTCTAATTAACCATGCAGAACAGGAAAAGAACACATGTTAATTTAATGTAACAAAAATGTTGATTTTCATGCACTCTCCTTTTCAAATATTTATGGGCTAGACTTGAATTTCAAGATGCATCAAAGGCTCACAGGGTATGCAAATGTGTCTGCCTTACCCCCCAACAAGTTGGACCATCTGAGCTATAAAGAGGAAGCCATTGCATTCACCTTTGTAAAAATAGCAGCCTATTTGTGTTTTGAGAACTATCCAGTGTAAGCTGGCACCTGCTCAGCTGCACCCATAAGTCATCGTCTTTCACAGGTTGCAACTAAATGTCATGTTAGGAAACATGAGTCATATCTTGTTATCTAATGAGGATGAGATTGTCATTTTGCAGGCAGCAACAATGTCATTCAAAAGCAGCACGCTCGAGTGTTTGAAGGAAATTATTTTACTGCTAAGGTTCGATCTTTACAGTGAGGTTGTATCCAGGTGCAGAAGGCTTCGGGTCAAACCCCCTGGCCTTTCTTTATTACAGTCATTTGATTTTTGCGGAGGATGTCTCTAGGTGTTTCCCGCAGTGTCCAAAAGGTGGCGCATGAGACGCGTCAAACACACCTTTCATTCCGGGTGGTGAAAGAAAAGTCCGCTCCTTAGGAGATTTACTCAGAGGAAATGTCACATATGGATAAATATGCATGGATCTGAAAAATACAGTGTCAGATTGTTAAAGAATTGTTTGTAACATACGACGTGTTTCACTGTGGATGAGCTGAAGCACTGTAGTAACAGGTAGGCCTTTTTACATTCCTGTACTTTTATATTGTTCAATCTTAGGAGACGCAGAACTACAGAAAAAGTTTCTCCCGCAAAGGTGAGTCTTTCCCTTCTCTCTGTCCTTCCCTTCATTTTTTCTTCACGTATACTTTAGCAGGAAAATGGACATTCACACACCTTAGAATTTGCAGCCCCGTGCACGACAAGAAAAAGAAATAATAGAGACTTAATTGATGCGTAAAAGCAGGCGAGCGGCTGAACTGTGATGCTCCTTGATGGAGATGTGGCGCATTTTATTTCACCTTGAACAAAAAAAAAAAAAAACAGGAAAGTGAGGCGCACAGGAGTCTGAGCCGATGCGATGCTGTGGATGACTTGTGTAGTCAGTTCTCTCTCCTCTTCTCTCTTTCTGTCACTCTCCCCCTCTCTCTGTCTCACTTTCTATGCTTCTCCTCCCTCTTTGAGCTCTGTGTGACTCTGCAGTTAACAATCAGAATTTCCTCTTGCTGTCTCCTGTCTTTGTAAGTAACTTTCTAATTTCTATTATGTGATACATGATAGTTTATTGTCATGACACTTGCATGTTGAATAACAGGCTGACAGTGGATGAGTGACTCGTCAGACTCGTGTTCTGTTTTCTGCTTTTCACTAAACGCTGCTGTTGATTTATAGATTAGGCTACAACTTTTTCCGTCCGTCTTTTTTTTTTTGGTGCTTTTCCGAAATGTATACGATTCTATTTTAATTTCTTTAGTGTGGGCCTCCTTCAAGCTCAGCTGATAATTTAAAACATATGCTCAGGCATTACAGACAAATGTGTTATTGTAAAGGCTGCTATTTTGGCAAGTGATTGCAAACTGTGGGTTGCCAGGGTCAGCTACTGGATCTTTGCTCCAGGGCTTTTTCCCAGATCTGCATCAAAACAATAATTAGGGTTTTTTTAAATGAATGACATCGGTCTAAAATAATATTGACCGAGTATGCATTAACATATTGATGTAAAATATTGATAATTTTAGTTATAAAACCCCATAGGATATTACACAAAAACTAGAAAAAGAGAATGTACTAGTCTAGGAAAGTTACAAGTTAAAATCTATTGCCAGAAAATAATATTTTCTCTCGTACCATTGCCATATTTATTTTTAACAGTTACACACTAATCATTTTTATTTCTAAAATCTCTCTGTTAACTTAAATTGTATGACTCTCAAACCTGATTATATCATATTTTGTCACGTTCTTTAAATGACTTCATTATAACAATAAATACACGATGTAAAAATACTAAAATTATGATTAAGCCCTTTGCTTAAGGAGAAGAATGTATATGTTGAACGCGTGTTTTATAGGACTGTTTGTCCAAAGAGTCATTTTGAATTCAGACATTCTGAATATGACTTCCTGTCCATGAAATGTGTAATATCTAAGGAGAAGATGGAGACGTCTGGGTGGCGTGTCAATCAAAATATCTCGTTTCTTATGCGATTACAGATCTAATGTTAGTGTATTGTTGGCGCTGATTTCATTTATCCAAATAAATGCTTTGGTATCACACAAATCCAGACTAGTCCCTGAGCGTTTTAGCCTCTTCCAGTGTTTCTCTGACTTGCTCTCATTAACTTATAGAAGCTGCATGAGTTTCCCTTTAAAGACTTTGTGATGTTGAGACAATTTCACTTAAGATGGAGAAGTCAGTCCGTTATTTGTCTTCTAGCAAAATAAAATTCAGTAGCACTAAAGGAAAAGTGCAGCGTTCTTAGAGAGGACAAACTCGCCCTTAACTTTACAGTTGCTTTTGCCTTTAAGTGATGTTCATTTAAGTAAGCTTATTAAACTGCGGACAACCATCCTCCTGTCTCCACTTTTATTTCGCCACAACTCTCTCTCTCTCTCCCTCTCTCTCTCTCTCTCTCTCTCTCTCTCTCTCTCTCTCTCTCTCGCATCTCTTGTCTGGGAGGAGGAGGGGGAGTCCTGCCTCTTTGCCTTCCTCAGATCAATGCCCTGGCCACTCACTTTCTGATGTTGCACGACGGGAAATGCTTTGAATACTTGCGACATGGCTGCGCGCATTGATTGCCAAGATTGACAGCAGCTCTACCCATCGTCTTCTCTTGTCTGTGTGAGTGTGTGAGAGAGAGAGAGTAAGATAAAGAACAGATAGGCGAACAACAAAAGGTACTGGTAGTTTTGGACAGCTGAACTTCACAGAGTGTACACGGGATCCCCTCATATGGCCCCGTGTGAGTAGACTTAAGTTTTCACTCAACAGACAGCTCAGAGATCATTTTCTATAAAGTACTGTCGAGTCAAGTAGTCTTTACGCACGGAAAAGGACGCACAATTATCTTCTCCAAGCCTCGGATCATCAAGGTAAACAACACGTTTGCTGTACTTTACCACATGCTTTAGGTTGTCTTGATATTTTCACCCTGTGTTTGCTGATTCCTGAAAGTCGAAAGCGCTGTTAGTGAAACGTCCCGACACAGTGCGCGCGTTTCATTTTAACGCAACGTTCAGAAAGTACTTTAAGTGTTAAGCCTGTAAAGATTCGCGTATTTTGTAGCGGGGAGAATGAATGTCAAACTTTAATTATCGCGATTATTTGATGCGTCGCTTTCACCAAAGCAAACCAAGTGCACGCGAAACCAGTGCTGGCTCGGAGGCGCTCGCATTCACCTCGGAATCGGCAAATCGGCGCTGTATTGAACACTCAACTTTACCAAAACTAAACTTTGAAACAACCCGAGTCTCCGTCTGAGGTTTAGAAATCACCTTTTGTTTCTTTGTTTATTTCAGCAGCGTCAAGCCGTGCGAGCGGACACAGGCTGCGCAGCTGTGGCTGCAGCCTCAAGATCAACCCGGGCAGCTGCCACTGATAACATTTTCGCTAATAATCGTAAAAATGGCCCATTCTTACAGAAGTGGCGAACATTTTGAGGTTGACAACGCTTTGGTGTTTGTGTTTACATGTCCCATAACTTTCTTCTGCTGGTGGCAGTTTCGCTTTTGTCCACAAAGTGGTACCATTCATTGACAATGACGTGCGCCCTGGTAGGTTTCTGTCTCTGCATGTGAGGTGAACACGTTAATTTGAAGCTTTCGTTCATGTCTGATTATACCTTTATGCATCCCAAGACGCTTCGACCCCCAAACTGCCTCTGTCGTCTGTAGATCTTTGTGTAATTATTTAATGCAAGAAACTGTGAGTTTCTGGCCCCCGTGCAGCCTGGGAATGTGCTCTTCCTTAACTTTCTCGGGAGGTCAGGGGAATTGACCTCTAAAGAATGCATAAGCCATAAATTAAATTCAACAATCACAAGGCTTGTCCATGTAGAGAAGATGTACTTGAACAGACAGTTTTCCATTTAAGCCGAGGGCTGTGACGCTCGGCACTCCGGACTGAACACACAGAAGTTCTCTTGTGAAAAGTGCAAATGTGCTTAATTGTTTTCGTGCCTTTTATCCGGTTGTTGCTGCGATACAATTCCAAACACTAATCATCGGGTCTTTAAATAGAATCATTCTCTACAGATATTATTAGAGTATAATATAAATTTTGCTCATTTTATTTAATTGAAAACTTACTTAACATTTTGGACACACCGTTCATTAGGAAATATTTATAGTGCACAGACCTTGTAATGAATTACCAGATTCATCATAAAGGGAGGATTAAGTCAAATATCACTGATAGAGAATGACACTGCAGCGCGGGCATGGCCCTTAGTTTTAAGATGTTTTCCAAAATTAGACAAACTCCCTGTGTACAAAAACAAGCCTTATGAAACTGTGTGACAGCAATTTAATAATAGAATCAACAACGACAACAATGTGAACCTTTTCTAATTTACTGACTGTCTTGTGATTTTTAAACACTGATCATATACTGTACGTTTTTTGACCAAACAAAAACCCACCTGTGGATAATTTATGGAAACACAATTACTTCTCCCCTGTTCTTTGTTAAAAACCCCTCGATTAAATATAAGTTCCTGAGTAATTCACTACTGTGAAAAAAGAAGAACAGCCACGTTTTTGTTCGGTCCGGTGTAAAGTTTTGCTTTAGTTTCGAACAGTTGCACTAACTGTGACTGTGAACGTAGGTTTCCTCATAAGGTAAGGCGGTTATGGAGACCAAACACGAGTCCAAATGGCACATTTATAATTAGACTGGCCATTCAGCACATTGTTCTGATTGCTATACAGGGACACTGGGCTCTGTCTGTGTGAGAGTTTGTCTCTGACGGCTGGTGCAGCTCAGCGTGTCGCTCACCAAAGAGCCAGAGAGGAGAGAGTGCAAAGCGCCGTTGCAGCCCTTTGATGCCAAGGAACCGCACTCGTCTCTTATTTAACATCTCTCATCTAGTTTTGCACCGAGATCTACCGGCATCTTAATTAAACCACCTTCTTCCTTTTTACACATCTCCGCAGCTGTTACATACTACTTCAATGTGTATTTTAATAACAGAAGAAACGTTGTGTTGACGTATTTTTTAGCAGTGTGAGCCCCTCAGAAATGTCTTCTGTTTTATCAGTATTACTTGGGGAAAATGTGCTTTTCTTTCGCAGCAATTTACAAGCGATTTAAGAATGAACAAAAAACCAAAGATTGGCAAATTGCTAATTGACACTTTATAGAACAGCAAGGAAACACCATCATATTTGTCATATTTCATTCTGAGTGGCCTTGCACATCTTCTGTATTTTTAAGAACTTATCTGCTGGTGGATCTCGGTGTGACTTGAGCTTTTTGCAGGACTGATAAAGGTAGCAATTCACACCTGGACTAAGAATAAAATTTAGACTGGCTGAGGTTGGTGTGCCTGTACAGTAAATTCAGAGATTTTAGGACTTTCATTTTGGCATGAAGGGAGAAGCCACCTGGCTCACTTGTCTAAACATATCCTGCTCTCTGTCCAAGTCCAATGTCTCCCCTGTAGCAAGAGCAACTTTGCTGCTGAGAATCTTTCATTATTATATGCTGCAATTAGAGCTGTTTTATAGTTTACTATTAGTTTGATTGTGTGAAAGAGAAATGCTGTGAATGATCACCATCTCAAAATGTGTTTGGACATGAACAGAACATACTAGTGACTCTAACTGTCCTCCTCATTGTCTCCAGGTAAGATTTGTTTAAACTAAGCTCTTGTGCCAACAGTAGTAGGAGCAAAAAAATTTAAAAAAATCAGGACAGACACAGGGAGAGAGGAGGGAGAGAAATAAGGAGTGAAAGGGAGAGGATGGAGACAGAAAAGTGCTTCATGTGACATTGTTTTTCTCTGTCTTACTCCCTATATTTGTACATTATGCTTTTGGTTGATGCTATTAACACAAAAGGTAATTTTGAGTTTACTGCAGATGTTGCTTACTGGGAATTTGAGTTTGACTCAACTCAAAAGAAACAAAACCAGAGCAGATGTACCAGTAGTGATATATATTAGTCACTGTAGAGTGTATAGTATTTGCTGATATTTATTGTTAAACCACATAGTGATGCAAATGAAGGTGTTGGTTTGAGTAGGCTCCATTTTACGGCCTTGCTCTTCGACTAACAGTTTTACCCGGAGTGCCTTCCCCTGCAAAGAAGCCTTTTCTAATGATATTACAACCAATTCCAGCTTTTGATAAGCTGATTTCACAGTTGGAGGAAGAAAAAAAGCATTCTTGTATTGATATAATAGTGATGTGTTGTCATTTGCAGATAGATCAATGTTAAAAACAAAATTAATAACATGTAAAAGTAGTGTGTGTGATTTATTTCATACAAAGCTGTAAAGAGACTGAACTAGTCTCTCCAGCTCCTGATATTTTGAGTTCTTCATTGCAAAAGTGTCGCTGTTTTATTGCTCTAGTGTGTGTGTCTGTGTGTGTGTGTGCGTGCGCGCACCCTGTATGCTTTGATATGTGCATGCATGAGCGGTACTTTCCATCCCAGATATTTTGAGAAAACGTCTTCACTTCTGACACTGATAAACACTACCGTTGATTTTGATTTGAAATGTCAAAATCCAAAAAGCCGCTGTGTTGCTCCAGAGTAAATGTCATTTACCGTAGACTGCATAAGTGTGACCTTACATTTTATATTATCTCTCTATATATACTGTGTTTTGCAGAAAGAGCTATTTTGTTCAGAGTGACAGGGCACTGCTAGGATGTGGGCAGGGAGCACAAAGCTATAGAAGAGGGGGGCGGCTGAGCGGTGCACAGGTACTAGTGGAGGTAACACCTGAGACCTGATGACAAACAAGATGAGAGGAGGTAAACAACAGCAGGCCTGGTAAAGGCAGAGGAGGGAGGCAGCAGAAGGGTAGAGGGCTGCAGGAGATAATAAATGTGGCAGCACATGTTGTGACATCTGTCTTTCTAAGTGTTATCTAATTTGCTGTAGAACATTTCAACAATGATCGAAACTGATGGCTATATGTCATAGCGTTTTTTATATATATATTAAATATAATTTGGCCCCTTTAACAAGTAGTTTCTGACAACTTAGTAACATGTCACTTCTGTCATGATCTGTCTTAATGTTCAGGACGTTGGTTTGCTGTTGGACAGTATTGTGTATAATAAATGCAAGCATATCGTGACAGGGAGCTCATCCTCCTCTGTGCACCCAAGCAGCAGTTGGTAGGGTAGACTGTGTTTTTGATGTGCTTCAAGGCATAAAGAAAGTAGGTACAGATGCCTTCTGCTTGGACAAAATGAGTTGGTGCTTATACAGATATTGTGGCTTCTCTCTGTCTGTGCTGTTGTCACTTCTCATAAAGGAGAAATACTGATAAAATCACTGGCCAGCTGGGTCATCAAGAGCAGGCAGTTGGGGCATCACCTCCACGAAGACACATATCAAATGAAAAGCTGTGTGAATGTGAAGCCAGATAAATTAATGTGATACAGTGTAAAACACCAATGAAAACAGCTGTTTGAAAAAAAGAAACGTGAGCTTTTACATTAAGAATACCGTCCATTATAGGATGTTAATTTCCCACAATCTGTCTGAGGGCATTCTTCAGTTCATATTTCTTCTTGACCCCAGGATCATCATCGTCAGTGATCAAACTTGATCGCATGTTATTCTTTGCTCAGAACCCGATAATGTACCATCTCCATGAACGTGCACCAACACTTACTGAACATGGACAAAGACGGGAAGTTTTTTTCCGCTCTGTTAGATCTACATGTCCCTCTGACTGCTGTAAGTGAGCAGTATTGCTGACATTAAAGGATTACAGATGAAAAAAATCTAAATATGTGTATCTTCACAGGAGCTGTGTAATTGCACAAGTAACCTAAGTGGCTCATTTTGATCTGTATCATTCACTCTCCCACTGAATCTGTTTTTCTCAAAGTAATTGGACATTTTCTTTTAG